AGAGCGACGTGGTGACTTCTTTACCGAGAACGATAAACCTTCTTCTCACGCTGGCTAGTGTTTTCCCAACGTTTCCAACGCCGTAAGTCATCGAGAAAGAGGGAGAGAATCGGCCCCCGGCGCGAGCGGTGCTCGCTAATTAAAAGGTGTGCCCACACCGCGCGTTTCTTCCGCTAGCTACAATAGAAACAGAGATTGTTTCGCATTGTGACTGACTGAGAGATCGGCGCGGCCGAGTCTCCCGCGTCGCCAGTCGCCTGCGGCTAGCCGCAGGTAACCCAAGAGTGCCCGCGTCTCGACGCTAATACGGCGTATTTTTTTTATCAGAGGCCGCCCCTTCCCAGCTGTACACCGCGGTGTCCGTTTCACTTCCGCGTGGAAAGTTCGATGATCGACGCGAGATGTAATCGACGACGCCGCGCACGGATAACCGATGATTTCAGATTATTGGCTGGATCAGCTGTCCGTGGCCAGGCAGGCGAGCCTCGAAACTGGATCGTCTCGCGCTGCTTCTACGATCTAGCGAGGTTCAATCGTTGCGTGCATCTATTTATCGATCTATCTATCGAGAGAGAAATCTCGTTAGATACTTCGCTTGCAGCCTGAGAATGGCGAATTCAAGATTGAGAGATAGATCGCAGCTCGGACGACTCGAATAACCCTGTCAGGGTCAAATCACTCGTCACTTGTTGAAAGATTCTCGAGAATAACCATCAAGGAAGGCGCGATCTAGCGACGAGCTTTAATTTAAAGAGCGCTGCGTGGCGAGCGAGAACGGTCGATCGGATATTAGCGAGTTGCTCGCCTACACGCGAGGCAGCGCGTGAGCCCGGGCTGGAGAACGACGAGGAGGCAAAGAGGCGGGAGCAGCCGCAGCTAGGTGGTGGAGGAATGCGAGGAGGCCATCTTGGTGAAGGGGGCATCCCCCTCGAAGCAGGCTTCTCGCATCCACGCGGGATCTCCTTGTTCCACCACGTTCGGGGCCCCCGATATCTCGCTCGCACCCTCTGGCTCCCTGTCTGTCGATCTGTCGGCCTCGTCCGTCCATCCGTTCGCTTGCACAGCTCGTACACACACCTGCCTTGATTGGCTCTACGCACGCGAGCGCCAATGTCACAATAATTATTAAAACGTAAATCTTCGGCAGCCGCGGAGCAATATGGCGCGGCACGAACACGCGCTACCAATCCTTCTCGCCTTTTTTTCGTGGATGGTGTTCGTCGAGGACTCTAGTCGAAAGTGGCAGCGTGAATTCACAAACGCCGATTTTCCTTCCATGCCCGGCGAAATGTACTTAGAATCGGAGTTTGATTCCGTGATTGGTGGACTATATTTTGTCGAAATCTTAGTTGCGATGATTCGTGTGACTAAGAACTATCGAGCCTATCGATAGTCAGTCATTTTGAAGTATGGATCGGTATTTTATTGCCCTGATGTAATCCGTGAAAGTCACACGTCGATCGACTTGATTGTACTTTAACCCCGTAAATAATAATACGTTGTCCCTGGCGTGCAATCGTTATCCGTATTAAATACAAGACGATAGGTTTCTTCCTGAAGACAGTTCTTCGTCTGTTAGAGAATCATAATCACCTAATAAATTTAATCTATTGCGACGGTTTTTCGTAATGCAAAGTATGTTTGCCATCAATTCGTGGAGCAGAGAGTAGAGTATGTCTACGCCAGACTGCTTTTTCGACGAGACATGCACGCATATAGGCAGATCTTTCGATGATCGTACACACGAAACGTGAAAAAGTAGCGAACTTGGTGGGAAGCGGGTATAAAGTTTGTCGGGCGTATTGACGTTGGCACGGGCAAGACGAAAGGGAATAGTTCGTGGTCGAGTGTGTTTCCAGGTCGTCGTTTGAAATTCTAATTTTATAGGAATCGGCGAACGCGTGAGAACGCGCGTCGCGGTGTCTCCGAGAGGAACTCGAATCGATAAGTTGTTAATATCGATGTTGAATTTTATTCGGCTGAGAAACGCTAAAAATTAAAGAGGAACCTTCAAGGTTCTAGGATAGTCATGACAAACGCGAAGAAGTGACTGCGCGAAAAGTAGATCGGTAGCCAAGCAGACTGGTAGCGAGTTGAGAGATTTTTTTCTTTTTGCCTTAACCTGTGTTGTTCTCTTGCAGTACCTGAAATGTTATGTTACTCTGTTACTTGTATTTAACATGAGAGTAAGTGAATATATATTTAACATGAGTAGCAAGAAAATTTGCAAAAAACTTGCTTTCCTTGTTGGGATCTTCTCGTGCGCGATGCGTTTCTCTACATCTCACATGTTAAATTGTGCGCCCTCTGGTAGCCTGATTTTTATTTTAAACAGCATGTTGTTGACGTCATAGTTTTCGGTGTTTCTGATTAGTGGATCGTGGCTGAGGCTGATCCCATTGAGTTTCTGATGTATTCCCGGATGGTCTGCTCTCTGATTGGCGTGTCATACGGTTTGTTTGTCAGGAGAAATTTGTTCTGCATTTTTTGTACTTTATTAATGTGAGTTCTGGCCGCTGTCGCCCAGAGTAGAGAGACCTCTTGCAGTGTCGGCCTTTCCAATCACGCGATTGGAGAGGTAGGTCATTTTCGGCCGAAATGTGTCGTTGGGCAAAGGTAATTTCCGTAATTACTTTACGGGCCTAACGGTACTGCCTCGCACACATCACGTTTGTACGTTTATTGAGCCTGGCTGTAGGACGCGTCCCCTGCAAATGTGTATACGTATCGACGTACGCGCGAGAAGTTTCGAACGAAGCTCGGTAGTAGCGGCGCGTGCGAACAGCTACTTACGAAGCGGCTAATGCTTTCGGATTCCCGTTCGGAAGCGAGGGTAGCCGGAGTACATGTATCTCGACGGCTTAGCTGCTCCTCCGCTCCCTCATCCTCTCAGCGAAGAGGAGAGATATCTTTTCTCCGTTCTTTCTTTCCATCTGGCCAGCGTGTTTCGCGCTGAGATACACGTAGAAGAAAGCACTGGGATGTTTCACTTCTCCACGGCTGTACCTCGTTGGCCACACGCTCGTGCTCCACGGCCGTAAAACACCGGCGTGGAAAACGGACGAAAAGCTCGGTGAGTGCTTGCCGGCCCCGTCGGAAGAAAAACCGTTTCCTAATCCCCGCAACTGCGTCCTTCGTCGAGGCGGTAAGTGATACGGTTTAGGATTTTTTCTCCTTCTCGTTTTGCTTCTCCATCCTCCGTTCTCCGTTCTCCGTTCTCCGCTCTCCGCTCTCCGGTGGCTGAGACTCTCCCTCCACCAAGGCTTGCGAGAATTATGACTGCTACGAGGAGGTCTCCTCTTCCTTTTTTCCCTTCCGCTCCAGGAGCGTGTACCGCGCGCACGCTGGTTACGCTTATTTCAACCGAGTTTACT